AGGAAGTGACATTTTTGGCGGGAAAACAGCAGCACAGAAATAAGAAAATATTCTTATATATTTGATTCTGCCAATATTATACTACATTTATTTATTGATAGATTGTTTTTTTTTTCCATAAGTAAACATTTTAAATAGTTATCCACTTTTTATTACTTAAACGTCTGAAGTCTCTTTACCTTATGAAGAATCAAAAAACCCTAAGATTCCTTAAATATTTTAGAGAAATATTTCAAGAAAATGCATGCATTTAGATGCTTTCCTAATGTACCAATGTCTATATTATTGTATGAATTAAATTATAGTATCGGTGTCACTGTAAAGTCGTTTGCAATTTATGTTAAGGTTATGTTTTTTGTACAACTTTTAGATTATTTTGGCTTTTATCCCATCTTTATGCCATTCTTTTGTTTTCTAACTATTCTCAATTTGATGTGTGGGTGTGTGAGTGTTTATTATGTAGAACTGATCTATTGTTGGTTTTTATTTGTATATAATCCCTTAGAAACGTTGTTTTTGTAATCGCTGTTTGAGCACTAATAAATAAAAAATAGAAACGAGAAAATATAATTTAGCTTAATTAAAAAAAATACATAATGTTATATGCGGCAACAGAAATTTGTGTTATAAAAGATGCTTAAAAATATATCGTAATTAACTTCCTGACCTCATGCAAGCCAACGCAAAATCCCACACTGAGCAATGGCTAACTTTAGCTTTTTATTTCCATCCTGTTAATTTCCTTGCCATCATGCAAATAGGTTATAATTAATGACGTTTAAGTGCCTGAGCTTGACCAGAGCATATATTTGCAAGTCTAATATATGCTTTCATAGCAATACCTCTACAAATTACAACCCAAGCACATTCATTTTTAAAAACTTGCAGAGTTCAAAAGGTACTGCATAACAGGAATGACCCGCCTGCTACTTCAACACATTCCTTCACACTTGGTTGCTTAAAAAGACCCTTGTTCACAGCAACCTATCACAGCCGGTGCACGGCCACATCTTGACCCAGCCCTACGGAGCCTGTAACTGGGAATAAGGTGACCACTGTGAGTCCTCGGGTGAAAATAAATCAGCCTATTTGTGCAAACACGCACAGCCAACAACTCTGATTAAAATGTCAGTAACGTCACTCGGCGAGGCCCACAGACTTAATTTCGCCGTAGATGGCTTGGTGCGGTGCCACGTTATTTTCCAGACATCTTCTTCTTTGTGCTAATGCAAGATTTGCACGGCCTTTTCGCACTTGAGTGATTCCAGTGCTCTTCTCTTTCGCGAGAGGAGTGATTTGGTGGCCCAGTCAAAGACTGGAGCGGCCAGACAGAGGCTGAAGTTCCTGGGTTACGATTGAGGTCAGTTTGGGGCAGCAAGGGAGAGATGCCAAACCACACAGAGCTTTTAGCAGCTGTTAATGAGAAAGGAGATCCTCTTCTAGAGTGTCGGACACAAAAAAGTTGTTGTCAGATGGGCTCTAGAGGTCTAGAGCACGGTGTTAGCAGACTAGTGCTTTTAATATAAGCTTTAAGGTGCTGTCAAATTACTAAAATTTCACTGAAAAAGCCTATTGTATATTGTCAATAGTGTAGCAATGTATAAAGCACAACTCACACAGAAGTCAAACCAAGAAGCTATCTGTTGGTCAACACACCAAATTCATGTGAACAACTGAAAATTTAGCAAAATCTGCTTGGGGAAATGTTTCACCCTCAAGCGAAATTACCACAATCACATGGATTCCTATTGAAATTACTGAATTTTGGCTGCAGCAAATACAGTGAACAATGGTAAATGTACCATCTGTTTAGGCCTATTCTTTAATATATAGATCTGTAGCTGATGTTATTTTTTTAATGTAAAATTTTGGTAAATTTGGAAGCTTTGGTGAAAACTTGAACGCTTTCAAATCAAGCAGCTTTCAGTTGGTCAACATGGCAAATTTACAAGACCAACAGAATTGATGCGAAATCTGCATGGGGAAATGTTTTATAATAATAATAATTTGTTGCATTCATATAGTGCTTTTCTAGACACTCAAAGCGCTTTACAATAGCTATGTTTCCATCGAAAGATGCAAATTTAACTTATGCGCAAAACTGGAATATCGCATAAACTATTTAGATGCTAAATAAGATATTATTCAATACATTTTCTAACGCTGGCTGGGCTGTACCTACGTATAAACATGAGACCAGGCTGAACAACTAGAGTGGACTATACTCTACCCACTATGTAATCCATGCGCAAAGCCTGGCTGGTTAGATCTGTTGGTCAAATTAGAAGCTGTTGGTCCAGGTCAACATGACCTAATCCATGCTGATGCCATGAATTTATGAGCAGTAATATTAGAACACGTGATGTACTATGTACTTTGAAAGAGACTGGTTGCATCACATGATGTTTATTAAACAGTTACAGTTACGCAGAGATTGTCTGTAATGACATTGTTGAAGAGTGCCAACCTACACAATCATGAACTATGTTTAAATATCAAATTGCAATCCACGACGGTCATACGCTGTACTTCTGAAGATGTGTATAATTCCATTAAACCTAACTCTCAAAGTCAGTTTAGGAGTTTAGATGTTGTGCTTGATTTTCTAAACCAGCATGAATTTAATTACAGGCAATGTTTTTTTTTTTATGCTTTCGACTTTGACCACTATAATCTTTAAGAGGACGTAGCTATGTTTCCATCCAAAGATGCGAATTTAACTTCCAAAAAAATGGAATAACGCATAAAACATTTGCGAATAAAGCACCGTCCATCCAACGAGTCAAAGAGAACAAAATCGTAACTTCCTGATAAACTGGCACTACATATCTCTAAGAAAACTAGGAGAAGCCACTGAATATAATAATTTTCAAATGTAATAAATTACTTGCGCTTCAGAGCGAGCAGACATAACACAATAAATGCGATCATTGCTTTCGGAGGTGGATGCTGCTGTTTGGGAATGCAGTCGTGTAAGACAGTAATTATACAGAAATACTTTGACGACAGACTTTGCTCAGGCATTTCAGAACGACCAAAACAACATATAGATGCTGTGAACGAGATCGGTCCGCTGGTTAGTCAATTTATCCCGTCTCATAGCGCAAAGTCACATGACTTTTTCAATGCACATGGTGGAATTTATTCGGTAAATGTGTTTCCATCGTAGTTTATGTGCCTTTTTTCTTATCGGATAAAAAGTTTATCCTACTTAGTTGTGCGCATAAGATTTTTATGTGCATTATTAGAATTTATGCGCATCTTGGCGTTTCCATCCAGCATTTTTTTATGCAATAATCCAAAATGCGCATAGAAATAGGTGGATGGAAACATAGCTAATGTGAGGGGGTATCTCCTCATCCACCACCAGATGAAATTGCCTCAGATTAAATTTCCAATCGCATGGATTCCTATTGAAATTTCTGAATTTTGGCTGCTGCAAATTCAGTGAACAATGGTAAATGTAGCGTACCTTTATTCATAAGCTGATGTCATTTTTATGTAAAAATATTGGTATATTTGGAAGCTTTTGTGAAAACTTGAAGACTTTCAAACCAAACAGCTTTCAGTTGGTCAACACGGCAAATTTACAAGACCAACAGAAGCCGATGCAAAATCTGTGGGAAAATCTTTCACAAACATGCAAAAAGAGTCCAGGATTTCTAATCTAAAACAATGGTAAACGTGACTGCATCATCATTCTTAATATACAGACATTCTTTCAGTTAACAATGGTAAATGTACCGTGACTTTATTGTTAATACGCAGATCTGAAGAGGATGTCATTTTTTTTATCTAATATTTTGGTAAATTTGGAAGCTTTGGTGAAAACTTGAAGACTTTCAAACCAAACAGCTTTCTGTTGGTCAAAGTGGCAAATTCACATGACCAACAGAACACAATGCAAAATCTGAGTGGGGAAATCTTTCGCCCTCTTGCACAAAATTCACAATCATTTGGATTCCTATTAAATGACAATATTGTGTCTTTGAAGAATCAGTGAATAGCAGTAAATGTGACTGCACCTTTACTTTTAATATGCAGATCTGAAGCTGATGCCATTTTTTCAATATTAAATGTTGGTAAATTTGGAAGCTTTGGTGAAAACTTGATCACTTTCAGCATACGGAAATCTTTCACACTCATGCAAAATTCACAGTCACAAATTCACAAATTTCTATTAAAATAATTGAATTTCAGCTGTGAAAATTCAGCAAACAATAGTAAATGTTACTGCACTTTTACTCTTAATATACAGACTTGAAGCTGATGTCATTTTATTAAAAGTACATTTTAGTAAATTTAGTAAAACACCTGTGTGTGGGGGTTTCTTTTTTTTTCAATTGTTCAATAAATTCTTATTTTTGTATAACTTATTAATAAAATAAGTTCTTGCCACACAGCTGCCAATATAATATCACAATGAGCAATTTTCATGAGTGTGTGTGTGCGTGTTTGAATCTGTTTTGCAGAGGTAAAGAAGATTCTCACAAGCACATGGCTTCTGCAAACACACTTCTGCTTAATCATAAAGCCGAGAATCTAGTTTCTCTCAAGATTCATCATAGCAGACTAAGCTAATACTGCTCATCTGAACATGTCTGCTTATGTTGCCCATATTTGCATAATTTTAGCACCTTCTAAAGAAACCAACATAATATCAACTTAATTTAATTCAAAAGGCAATATTTCAGCTTTCTGTGCAAAATGATTCAATACTAATGCATTCAAAAAGCTGATAATACTAATGTTACACTCCTAAAATGTCAATTTGCATCTGCCAACTATTAAAATGTGCCGGACGGTGCCCTAGTTAATTAAAGTTAATAATGCAATTGATAATTCAGCAGTTCCTATTCATCTTGCTTTCATTCTGAACCTCAGCTTCATTTCTCCTCAACGCTCAAAAATTACACCAGGAAAAAAAAAAAAAACCTCCTTTCACATCCTAAATTATTATTTTCATATCATCTAAAATATAAAAACCAAACACAGCTTACCTTTTCCATAGTTGAAGTGAAGTTTGATGGATTTGCCCTGGTTGATGTGCAGGTACGTAAACCACACGGCAAAAGTGAGCAGCACCAGCAGCAGCAGAAGTTTGAACTGCTTTCGTATTTTCTTCACAGGGAATCGCAGCATTTTCGCAGCTGCAGCATCATCAGCAGCAGCAGCAGCAAAAAAAGAGAGTGTCAGCCGCTCTTCAGTCTGGCGCTTCAGAGAACGAGTCCTGATGTCACAATGTCATATTTGCAGCAAGCACCAGGTTCGGTTTGCCGCAACTAAACTCCCGGTATCACAATCTCATCTTCGCAACAGCAGCAGAATGAAAGTGTCAGCTGCTTCTCAGCTCGCCGCGCTTAAATTTGTACCGTCACAATGTCATATTTCTCCAGACAGCAGCAGAATCGGTCTTGTTTTGCTAAAAGTTAAGACTCCTTATGTCACAAAGACATATTTACAATTTGTCAGCTGCTTCTCGGTTTGGCACGTTTCACAAAAAGATGTCGCAATGTCACATTACAGCAGCAGAAAAAAGTCAGCTGCTTCTCGCTTTAAAGACAATGCCATTTCCTCAATGGGTTTCTTACTGTTCTAACTCTATAGAAGGATCATACATGATTTACAAGCCATGTCACTGTTTGTGACTTCAAATGGACTTCATTTAAATCCCATTTAGCACAAACAAGTTTTAAACAGGTAGAGATGGAGAATAGTCCTGTAAACGGTTTGATTGCAGGCAAAGAAAAGAGCAGCGGGCTGTTAATCTTGTGAAATTCGCTCTGACAGCAGTCCAGTTACTCCAGAAAGGATCATCCTCTGGATTTAAAGCTTTCACTCAAATGACCAGTCTAACTTTTTAACATTGCGGTTTCGCTTTTAATTAACAATAAACAACACAATCTAACTGTAGAACCTCAATTGTGAAGCTGCTCCTTTCTGGGATGAGGCGCAAAGTGTTTTTTTAGATTTGTTGCTATTTTAAACAGTCATGTTAGCAATAAAACCACTCAATTAACAAATGCAATATTTAGCATGAAACCACATCATACAATAACATATACATATTATGCATTGTAAATTTGTTTTCATTCATTTAACACATCTTTGAGTAATTCGCTTTGAAGTGGTCAAAAAAGTGCAATGAACTTATCACTGCAGGTTATGAATGACTGGCAACACTTTCAATTTAATTCCAAATTTAAGGCAGCAATTATAGCGAGTTGATTTTTACAGCATATCTAGAATCAAACAGTAGTGATGTACAAAAACATCTAAATAAACATAAGACACTTACGATTTAATGAATTAAATGTGCATTCGAGTGGCTGCATTGATTCAGTATGCAACAGTAAATTTGAACATCACGCGACTGGTGCTTTATCGCATCGCAATGGAGAAAATGCTAATAAATGCTGATGTATCCTCAGATCTTCTTAAAACACTAATATGCATCGTGAGTAAGAATCACATTGCTCTTGCGGTTCATAGGTGATGCGATCATGCACCTGCTATCCATCCCAGTCCACGCGCAACTTACTCGCTCTTTGCAAAATTTCAAATCAAACGCATGAACCTAAACGCCGCGTCCGCCGTTAACAGAAAGCCGGTCAGCATAAAAACAATAACAATGCTCTATTGGCGTCCGTAAGCTCCGGTGCCGTTAGCTGCATCTGACATTTTGATTCCTCTCGTGCTCTCTGCGAAACAAACGCTTTGTTTCACCGATGCGATGCGATGCGTCAGTCTCTGCGCGCGGATGTTGTCACGCCTTTAGTCTGATAAACTACTTAGCAACGAGTCTCTTAAATCCCACAAGCTCCGCTTCCAGTCCTACGATGCGACCGACTCTCGATCCCCGCGTTCAACTGAGCATCCATTACGCTGCCGCGGAGCGACATTACGAACCCTACTGTGGTACCGGCAGAGCTAATGAATTATTAAATAGGTCATCTTGACGTTACGTTGAGCATCCGTGCGCTAGGTTCATTAATATTCATGAGGCAGGTATTATCAATAGCCGAACGTCACCGTTACGTAATTAATATTCATAAGGTCAGCCGTTACCGTAGTATGATTCGGAGATTCGCTGCTGGGCAACCGAACTTGAGCGGAGCCGTTATGGGCAGGAACGGTGTCCAGCCACTGGCGGAGCTCCAGCGCGACAGATCATCACTGGAAGAGCTCCGTGCATTAACGTTTAATCGTTTGCTGCGATGATCTCACCTAATTTGATTTGATGTTTCCATCATTTGACAGACGATATCAACACTAAAAAAATCAATGTTTATGATTAATGTCTGGTGCATGCTATGACGTGCTATTTAGAAAGGTTATTTATAAATTTATATAAAAGATTAACTCAGTTTCTATTTAGTTCATTCATTTTTGACTTACTTGGGACTTACTTAGGCAAGTGCATTTTTACAATTAACAATAAATGTTAACATAAAACATTTTTTTTAATAATTAGGCTGTTTGACATGTATTCATTAAAAAAAACGTTTGTTTGTCTGAAACGTGCATTTTTTTAAATTAATTAGCTAATAATACATTAAAAAGTTAAAGATGTGTTAATTAAATAAATATTTTAATTAAAATTTTTATATTTGATTTAAATAAATTCTTTCTGTGTGTATGTTTTTTTTTTACAAATTTAAATAAATTAATAAGTAACTTTTAAAATGTTATGCCATTTTAGAAAGTAACATTTAGAAATACATATGTGTGCATTTTAATTACTTTTAAATGTATTTTGCTTTTTTAATAAATCATAAATGAATACAATTGTATTGTATTTCATATATATTTAATAGTAAATTAAAAATAGTAAATTAAAGAAATTAAAAAATATATACTGAATTTAGTAAGATAATAAACAGAATAACAGAATAGAATAACAGAATAACTTTTAAAAAATGTATTAATTAATTGATTATTTATTGTTCATTTGTTTCTTTTTTTTTTTTAATGTGTGAAACCACAAGCAAAATTCAAAAATCTATCTACAAGATTAGAATAAGCGCTGAACAAATTCAGTTGCATTCAACATAAAATACATACCGGTATTACATGTTATACAACAGTTCTTTCTGGTCCTCAAATCTGATTGGCTGATAAGAGTGTGATATTCTATATAACAGAACTCTAACCGTATTTCTCACAGCAAGTGTCGGATGCCCAAATCCACTATTTTAAAAATTAATACTGGTTTTGTGTCACGGAATAAGAGTTTTTTTAGGTGAGAATGTACCCGTTTAGACTTCAAATATGTGGTTTGTTAATAAAGATAAAGTTTCCCTGCAGATGAACAGCTGGATTTGTCATATTATGGGGTAATTTAAAGCCCACAGCCTTTCTAAACTCCTATTTCACCTTTTAAGTAGACTGCATATTGCCTGACCTTGATCATTCACAGAATAAGCACAACTCATCAAATCTTTGAATAATTAAGCCCTGTTTCTAATATGCATGAAGCTATAAGCCCTTGCAGAGTTTATATGGTGAAATATTAGTGGTTCTTCAGGCAGTTCACTGTGACACAAGCACAACCATATTACAGTCAATTTCTCTCCCAATGTCTTATTCATCCCATTTCCCTGAGAGACACAGTCATGAGCGGTCATCATATAGCTGTGATTATTGTGACACAAGAACTCACAGATGAAAGAGAGAAAGACTAAGCACAACGTTTCCAAAGCTATGAGATTTTCTTCCCAAGATATACATAGAATGGCCTTTTCCCTTCCTGTTTGTCTTCCTCGCCACTTTCCGCCGTGACATTACAATAAGATGGCCACCCTCAACTGAAATGTCAAGAGGATTAAAAGGAAGGCCTTCTCATAATGTTGATCTAAATCGGACACCACTGTTGCGAATCATTTCCACAGCATCTTTAAGATTTGAAATGTGACTCCACTGACTTCCACTTCCAGACACAAACAAACCAGGAAGGATTAGAGAAAGAGCAGAAGAAATCTCACTGATATGTTGAAGGAACAGTTCACCCCAAAATAAAAATGTGCTCACCCTCAGGCCATTCAAGATGTAGATGGGTTTGTTTCTTCACCAGATTTGGAGAAATTTAGCATTTCATCATTGCATTTGCTTATCAATGGATCCTCTGTAGTGAATGGGTGCCGTCAGAATGAGAGTATATATTATTATTGTGTATATATATATACACAATAATCCACATAGCGACGTACATGTAAATGTCCTTATTATAGTGCCACCTAGTGCCAAACGGATGTGTGTGTGAGTGGTGGTGCACCTTTGGCACCACCATCCAGCCAAGTTTGGGGTCTCTGCGATTTATGGTCTCTGACGCCCAGACACTTTTAGGGCAGAAAAGAAGAAACGAAGGTGCTTGGGCCCCTAGAAAAGGAAATGGTTCAAATGGTGGAGTTAAGAGCAAAGATGTGTTCAGGTTTAGAGATTTTTTTTAGAAACAAGATTTTTTTTTTAATTGCTTCTTGTTGTTGCCCTCCATTGAATAAAACATATAGAATGGCTTTTGAACATGCATGATATTCCAGTCCAAATGCACAAATAAGCCATTTCAAACCACACAAGAAAATAAAACAGGTGAAAAAGTGACCCAGAAAAGGTTTACAATTTTTTTCATGTATTTAAAAAATACAAAAATGCCCATGGATATAACCTAAATGTATTATCAAAATATTTTAGCTATAAATTTTCACAGATATATGTTTTGACCATTTACTGTATGTAACCTATATGCCGGCAAACACATGGCGAACACGCATAACTAAAAATCTTATTTCACAATACGAGTCATTTTATCTCACAAACCCAGGCAAAATTTGTGTAACTGGCAAATTTGTGTCGATCAGTTTATGCTTAAGCCGTTCATAATCTTTCTCCAATAAAGAAAAATGGGTTAACATGTTAATATGACCTCATGCATAGTCGGCTTACCAAGCATAATTGGGTTAAGAACATGAATGTAAACACTCTCGATATCTGCTCTATATCAGCCATCCTGCTCCCAAAGATGTCAGATATTCAACAAAAAAAAAAAAAACATATTGGTTGACCAACAATTTTAAAAAGACTTTCTTTTTCAATTAAGATATCAAGAGAGCTCTATACTCCTGACAATTTTGCCATAAAAAAAAATCAGCATAATGTCAATGAACCTTTTCAAATATGTTTGTATAATAATCACTTCTGGTATTGTGTTGGGTCACCGTTTGATCTCCAATGTAAATCTAGGTCCTGAGTAAATTCATTTGACAGCCATCGTATATATTTTGTGTATCTTTGGTTTCTGTAGCCAATTCAAGCGCTTACTGTGTTGTATGTTTATGTCTCTGTGAATAATACTTCTGCCTTTGCTCTTCAGTTTTTTTTTCAGAGCTTATAAATCTGTCACTGGCTGCTGTAGTTTGAGGCATTGAGCACAGATTGTGTGTGTGTGTGTGCGTGTGTGTGTGTGTGTGTGTACCTGGTATTTATCATGTTATGGGGACCAAATGTCCCCACAAGGATAGTAATACCAGTAAATTTTGACCTTGTGGGGACACTTTTGGGGTCCCCATGAGGAAACAAGCTTATAAATCATACAGAATTAGTTTTTTTTTTTTGAGAAAGTAAAAATGCACAAAGTTTCCTGTAAGGGGTAGGTTTAGGGGTAGGGTTGGTGTAGGGCAATAGCACATACAGTTTGTACAGTATAAAAACCATTACGCCTATGGGATGTCCCCATAAAACATGGAAACACAACGTGTGTGTGTGTGTGTGTGTGCGTGCGTGCGTGCGTGTGTGTCACAAAGTCCTAACTAGTACAACCTCTCTTATTAGCTCAGAAATATTAATAAAAAGACACATTTTAGTTCATTTCGTGTTCGTAGTTAATGTGATAAAGCACACCTGTCGACATCTCGTGTGAACCTGAGGAAAAGTTGGATCACTAAAACTGTGTATTAAAGAGTAAAACATTTTCAGTTAATCTCCTCAAGAAATACAAACACATTAAAATGACCCCTACCTTTGACGCCAAGAAGAGCAGCATGAAGACATGAAAACAATGTTGCTCTTTCCACAGTTCTGTGATCAATAGGAAAAGCACTGCTCCTCTGAGGAATCCAAGAATCTCAGACAAGAACGTGTTGATCTCACAACATGTGACCAGTAATTGCCTTTCCAAACAAACA